ATGCGCGCCGTGAAAGTTCTCTGTACATTTTCTAGGTCGGAAATTTAAACCTGCCTTGAAAGGTGCTGTTAGAGTGCAGCAATATTCCAGCCTAGATAGAACAATGACCTGAAGAGTGCAATCATGGGTTTGGCCTCCCTAGTTTTGAAGGTTCTCATTATCCATCCTGTCATTTTCTAGCAGATGCGATTGATACAATGTTAGGTCCTTGAAGGTGAGATCCTCCGACAAAATCACTCCCGGGTCTTTACGTTGGTGTTTTCGCTCTATTTTTGTGGCCAGAATTTGTTTTGTACTCTGATAAAACATTTAATTTCCTCATGTTTACCATATCTGAGTAATTGAAATTTCTCATCGTTGAACTTCATATTGTTTTCTGCAGCCCACTGAAGATTTGGTTGATGTCCGCCTGGAGCCTTGCAGTGTCTTGCAATGGAAGACACTGTCATGCAGATTCGGGTGTCATCTGCAAAGGAAGACACGGTGCTGTGGCTGACATCCTTGTCTATGTCGGATATGAAGGGGTGAGGAACAAGATGGGAGCTAGTACTGTGCCTTGTGGAACAGAGCTTTTCACCGTAGCTGCCTCGGACTTTACTCTGTTGACGACTACTCTCTGTGTTCTGTTAGTGAGAAATTATAGATCCATCGACCCGACTTTTCCTGTTATTCCCTTTAGCGGCGCGCATTTATGTGCGCATTACGCATGGTCACACTTGTCGAAGGCTTTTGCAAAGTCAGTATATATTACATCATGCATTCTTTTTGTCTCTAGTGCATTTATGACCTTGTCGTAAGTGATCCCCAGTAGTTGAGACAACGGACGACCTGTTCTAAACCCCATGTTGCCCCTGGGTTGTGTAACTGAATGGGTTTCTAGATGTGTGGGATCTTGCTCTTAGACCCTTTCAAGATTTTTAATGAAATGGGATGTTATGCTATTGGTCTTAGTTCTTTGCTGTTGCTTTACGGCAGGAGCGCTGTTTATCCTGGATCTCTAAATTCGCCCTTAACCCTATGTAAGATATGGCGACGAGTTAAGGGATACCTGTGGAATAAGAAAGTCGAGGAAGGGACAATCACCTCACTAGACACACGAAGGTATGGGTGTAAGTGGCATGCGGGGTCTTATAGTGCTCATTTTCAAGGTTCACCCAGCAGGCCATAACATTCCTCCTCATCTTTAAGCCTACCGTAGGTACTGATGGTAAGCACAAGTCCTAAGTCGTGAAATCCACTCGTGCAAATAGTTACAACAAATCTGTGGCAGCAACTAACACTTCTAGCACAAACTTACTATTTTTATAGGTGAACCTCTGCATGTCCCACTTAAAAAGTCAGTACTGCAAATGCTCGTTAAATTGTTCTTTAACTAAGCCACTACAGGAAGCACTGTAGCCGAGCAGCACTGTAGAACATATAACGTAGACATGCTGGGCCTTAGGACAGCTGTAACTGCAGGCATACCTTAGCTTGTTCTGGCTAGCTTGGAATGCTGCTTTCAACCTGCTTGAAATGTGCTTGCTAAGCCCGGTGTCAACCACTTGGATATTTGCTTTAGAGCAGCAGGTAGGCACACAGGAGACATATTCGAAAGATTAGTGAGTGCGGCACAGATGGACTGACACGGGCACTCAAGCATTTATGTGGTCCTGGCAAAAACCGCCTCTAGACCATAATGCAAATAGAGGCAAATGGCTGAGTTCCAAATTGATGAAGGAGGGGAGACAGGCGAGGTGGAGTGAAGGTATGGCCTCCTACAGCCCACTCAAATCACATGTTTGTGGGGTTTCATAGGTAATCACTATCACAGTTCCACACATAAAGTTCCAGGCAGCAATTCAGCTGCGCTTCAATGATATTTGTTTGCATGATGGAGGTTTACAGTCGGGTGAGATAACAGTTTTTTGATATAGAACCTAATAGCACATGAGGAAACACACACACACACACGAACTTTTAAATCTCTGCACAAAATTCAATTTAAACCAGCAAATAATAGAACCTACTAGACTGGAGAATACACTAGACCTCATCTTCACTAACAATGATGATCTGATACGAAATGTCACCATATCAAAAACAATATACTCAGATCACAACATAATCGAGGTTCAGACATATATGCGTGGAGCCCCAGACCGACAAAATGAGATTAGTCACGAGGGAGCCTTCACCAAATTCAACTTCAATAACAAGAACATAAAGTGGGACCAAGTAAACCAAGTCATAACCGATATAAGCTGGGAAGATAGACTAAGCAACACAGACCCCAACTTATGCCTAGAACAGATTAACTCGGTGGCACTCGATGTCATGGCTCAAGGTTTATTCCTTTAAGAAAAAGGAGGAGTAGATGTAAAATAGAAAGAGACAGGAGCTCCCTTTACAGGCGACGGAAAAGAATAATGGAGCAGCTAGAAGAGGCCAATATATCTGAAATGCATAGGGAGTCACTGGTCAGAGAAATAGCAAACATCGAACTTAAGCTAAAGGAATCTTATAGGAGTCAGGAATCGCGGGAAGAACTAAAAGCGTAAGTGAAATCGAAAGAAACCCAAAGTATTTCTTTTCTTATGCCAAATCAAAGTCGAGAACAACATCCAGTATTGGGCCCCTACACAGATGACAGCAAGGAAAGAGTGAGCTACTTAAGTCCCAATATGACTCAGTTTTAGCAAGCCGCTCACCAGACTGAGAGTCGAAGATCAAAATGAATTTTTTATGAGCCACAGAATTTGGTTAACACAAGCCTATCTGATGTTATCCTGACGCCAAATGACTTCGAACAGGCGATAAATGACATGCCTATGCACTCTGCCCCAGGGCCAGACTCATGGAACTCCGTGTTCATCAAGAACTGCTTTTACCGTCCTATGGAGAGGGAGCATGGACACGGGGGTCGTCCCACAGTTACTAAAAAAACAGACATAGCCCCACTCCACAAAGGTGGCAGTAAAGCAAAAGCAAAGAACTACAGACCGATAGCACTAACATCCCATATAAAAATCTTTGAAAGGGTCCTAAGCAGCAAGATCGCCACCCATCGAGATACCCATAAATTACACAACCCAGGGCAACATGGGTTTAGAGCAGGTCGCTCCTGTCTGTCCCAACTACTGGATCACTACGGCAAGGTCCTAGATACACTAGAAGACAAAAAGAATGCAGATGTAATATATACAGACTTTGCAAAAACCTTCGACAAGTGTGACCATGGCGTAATAGCCCACAAAATGCGTGCTAAAGGAATAACAGGAAAAGTTGGTAGATGGATCTATAATTTCCTCACAAACAGAACACAACGAGTAGTAGTCAACAGAGTAAAGTCTGAGGCGGCTACGGTGAAAAGCCCTGTTCCACAAAGTACAGTACTCGCTCCCATCTTGTTTTTCATCCTCATATCTGACACAGACAAGGATGTCAGCCACAGCACCATGTCTTCCTTTGCAGATGACACCCGAATCTGCATGCCAGTGTCTTCCATTGCAAACACTGCAAGGCTCCAGGCGGACATCAACCAAATCTTTCAATGGGCTGCAGAAAACAATATGAAGTTCAACGATGAGAAATTTCAATTACTCCGATATGGTAAACATGAGAAAATTAAAACTTCATCAGAGTACAAAACAAATTCCAGCCACAAAATAGAGAGAAAACCCAACGTCAAAGACCTGGGAGTGATCATGTCGGAGGATCTGACCTTCAAGGACCATAACATTGTATCAATCGCATCTGCTAGAAAAATGACAGGATGGATAATGAGAACCTTCAAAACTAGGGATGCCAAGCCCATGATGACACTCTTCAGGTCGCTTGTTTTATCTAGGCTGGAATATTGCTGCAGGTGAAATTGCTGACCTAGAAAATGTACAGAGAACCTTCACGGCGCGCATAACGGAGATAAAACACCTCAATATTTTACTGGGAGCGCTTGAAATTCGTGAACCTGTACTCCCTGGAACGCAGGCGGGAGATACATGATTACATACACCTGGAAAATCCTAGAGGGACTAGTACCGAAAATCACTCAAAACGAAAGCAAAAGACTTGGCAGACGATGCAACATCCCCCCAATGAAAAGCAGGGGTGTCACTAGCACGTTAAGAGACCATACAGTAAGTGTCAGGGGCCCACTGTTCAACTCCCTCCCAGCATACATAAGGGGGATTACCAATAGACCCCTGGCAGTCTTCAAGCAGGCACTGGACAAGCACCTAAAGTCGGTACCTGACAAGCCGGGCTGTGGCTCGTACGTTGGATTGTGTGCAGCCAGCAGTAACAGCCTGGTTGATCAGGCTCTGATCCACCAGGAGGCCTGGTCACAGACCGGGCCCCGGGGGCGTTGACCCCCGGAACTCTCTCCAGGTAAACTCCAGGTAAGAAATACCCGCCATTTAACAAGACAGTTACACATGCATTGTCTCCTCTATTTCCACACTTCAACAAATCACTTCGGTATATCTTTCCAGACTGTCTCACAAGAGCTAGATAACACCTGTCCACAAAGGCGACAATCAAACAGACGTTAACAATTATGGACTAAATTCTACCAATATTATTAAAAATATATGATAAAGTGATACATAATCTGCTTCATTTGTACTTAAACAATGTGCTTACTCCTTGCCAGTTTTGATTCATACCCCCTTCATCCAACCCCCTCCCCCCCCCCAAAAAAAAAAAAATCATTCCATCACAAAAATGCTTGACACAGTTTATGCAGCATTTAAAAGAAACGAATATCCTACTGGACTTTTATTGATATAGGTAAGGCATTTGAGATTGTCGACTACAACTTTTTTTTGAAAACTTAATTTCTACGGACTCTAAGGACACACACAGTTGCTGCTACTATAATCCACTTTCTGCCACCATAATTCAATTGCCGGCACCATAATCCAGTTGCTTCTACCATAATTCAGTTTCTACCATAATCCACTTGATGCCCCCATAATTCAGTTTTTGGCAGGGTAAATAACATAGGTATTCGTCCACAGCTGTGTTCTGGGCCTCAGAGTCTCCACAACACGTTTGGTTGGGCGCGTCTGGAGGTGCTCTCCATGCTGACCACACAGCTCTTCCTGACGGCGCTTTGCTTCAGCGTCGCCATCGAGTCCATCCAGACGGCTGTGCACGTCGGACATCAGGTGATGTGCACGCCTCATGTGTACCATCTCTTGCAGACGTAGCCAAGCCACGTCTGAGTTTGTATATTAAATGAGGCTCAATGAGACTATTTCCAGAACAGGAATCAGTCTGGATATTGAGTGGAGAGCTGTGCTCAATACGCAAACGAGTCGCAGGCGGTTAGCGCCTGGCTTGATCGCGTCTGGTCTATCATGTGAACAGCCTTGTCATTATTGACATGGCCATGCATCATCCTGGGGGAGACGATGATGCATATGCAACGCTTAGGTATCTTTACTGCAGAAATGTTTCACCTGCGCAGCAGGCTTCTTCAGACGAATACAGAGATCACCAATATACTTATGACACTGACGAAATTCCTCTTTATATTCAACTAAACAGGCGTAACGTTTCGGAAACAAAGATACCCAAGTGTTGCATATGTCTTAATTTATCCAATTGTCGGTTCTGTATGCCATTAAAATAATGACAATCGTCCTGAAGGAGGGAGGGGGGAGGGAGGGGGAGGGAGGGGGAGGGAGGGGGGGAGGGAGGGGGGAGGGAGAGGGGAGGGAGGGGGGAGGGAGGGGGAGGGGGAAGGATACATATCAGACTGTGAAATAATCAGAGGTTAAATAGCATCTGCTTAGACTGTACATTCAACGGTTAAAAATATATATTCCTAGAGAAGTTTAAAACCCGTAAGTCACATAGCACATCGTGAATGGAGGGTATTTTGGCTTAATCCGAGGAAGTGTAGCTCCAATTCCTTGGATAAAGAGCCCTTAATAAGTATCAAAGACTCGCCTCCCCCTCCCACAAAGAGGACACACCCGTTATAACATACAAATTTTAAATTACGTAATAAAACTAAATACATTTGTTAGTATTCATAAATAAATCAAATGCATCTATATGTAAATACGTCAAATACATGTGTAAATACGTCAAATACACCTGCTTTTATGTGAAAAATACGTCAAATACATCGGTTTCTATATGTAAATGCGTCAAATACATGTTTATTTGTGTAAATACGTCAAGCATATCTATTTCTATTCGCAAATACGTCAAATACAACTGTTTCTACGTGCAAATACATCTGCTTCTATGAGTAAATACGTCAAATACATCTGTTTCTATGTGTAAATACGTCAAATACATGTTTCTATGTAAATACGGTAAATACATGTCATTATTTATCAATAAGTGAAACAGTAGAAGGTAAGACTAACAAATGTTGTGTTGCGACAGGACGCGATGCATCACCCACTGAGAGTGATGGCCCTGGGCGCCGTGGGATGCACCCTCAATGCTCTCGTCTTCTGTCTCATTGGAGGTTACTAACACCAAGTCTCATTTATATTAGTGAATCTAAGTTTTTTTCTTTCACCACATCGGCAGCCTTCCACCAAGGTAGGGTAGCCTAAAGAAGAAAACAGTCACCATCATTCATTCAATAGCCATGGACATCGCATTTCAAATGACCTTTTGCAATGTCCTTATTCATCCTTCAGAGGACAAGCACTCTATTTTCCACCTCCAGGTGGTAATATCAAAACTAATACTAAATGGTTATAACTATGACCATAATTTTTAAAGGGGTGGACCGGTAAGCCAGCGAGAGGCCTCAGTCAGATGACCAAAAGCTCCAACGGCGGGCAATCATCTGACTAAGACCTGCGTCAGGAAACACATGTCCTGTTTCCTGAAGAACCTTACCTAACCTAACCTAATATCAAAACTGAATTCGAATAAATATTATAAAAACCCGACCAGTTGATAAATGAGACATTTGTCCACAAGTCTCTTATTAAAAACTGAATTAATACGTTTTCTTATTTGTAATATTACAATTACTACACTAAACAAACATAATATCTGGAAGATTCAGAGAGATCCATGATAGCTCACCCTTACAGGGAAGCCTGCATCATAAAATATACTGCGTATATACCTGGAGGGTGGTCCGGGGGTCAGTGCCCCCGCGTTGACCCCCCCCCCCCCCCCCATGTAGTCAGTAACCTGGTGCTGAGAGTCTAAGCAGGGTGGAGAAGGCATTATCAAGTTACAGCACCATAACCAATATCCTGGCTTGTTTAATAAATTCGACACTTACACAGCCTAATAATAATTCAACTCAACTGAAATTTTGGGACATGGCCAGATGCTTCCATAAAGCAGTACAATATTATTATCAGATGGGCTAATGTTTACAAAGAATTACAAAACAAGCGTAGCCAAAGCCACAGAAATGATAGGTTAGATAATGAAACCTTTCAAAACAAAGTGACACACCAGTAATGATACTTATCAATACATCTCTGTTTTATCGCACCCTCAAAGGAGCTTCCTTGATGCTGGTGAGGGGTTCCTGATCTAAGAAATTGGACCTGAGCTCAAATTCCTTGAATCAAGCCTCAATGTTTTCCACTTCCCCAGGCGCTGTATGACCCAACGGGTTTAGCGCTCCCTTCCATGGATGTAAAAACAATCTGCTTTATCTTGAATACATATAGTATCTATTTTTGAAGGCTGACGAGATATCAGAGCTGAAAAATATACACCAGAGTTACAAAATACACTGAGATATTTTACTATATATAACATTAGTAAATTATCTTCGATACTGGGATCGCCTGGAAGCACACAAAATATTCTCCGTGGAACGCGGATGAAAGAAGTTCCTTTTAATATCTGCATGAAATTTCTCGAAGATCAGATCCCTAATCTGTGAACTCAACTTAATGAGGCAAGATGGAAACATAAACACATGCAGTTTAATGTGATCCTTTATTGACAACGTTTCGCCCACACAGTGGGCTTTTTTCAAGTCACACACAGATCTACCTGGGGTGGAAGGTACGGGAGTATTTATAGACAGGTTCAGAATGTTGAGGTCAGGTGGAGAATGCTGCATCTGATGATCTACCGGGTGGGGTTATAGAGTCTTGGGTAGCTTGGCAGGGGTATTGGACAAGTTGTTGTGAGAAGACCTTCTGCAGTGTTCTATGTTCTTATGTGGGATAGCGATGAAGAAGTTTCTTGGCGAGTGGTTCAGCTATGTTATAGAAGCCGTTATTCTGGTTGAAATTGTTGGTTATAGAGCTAAGCGATGATTCCAGGATTCTTCGGTATTGGTGTTGTCTTCTGTGGCGATAAGTCTTGAGTTTCTGTAGTTAATTAAATGGTTGTGTGAATTGCGATGTTGTACACAGGCATTCCTTGTATCGTCAGTCCTGCTTGCGTATTGGTGTTCTGAAATACGTGTTTGGAGGTCTCTTGATGTTTCGCCCACGTATAATTTGTTGCAGTCATTACAAGGGATTATGTATACCCCTGCAGAGGATGGAAGCTTGTCCTGTCTACTACTGGTGATGTCCTTGATGGTCATGGTTGTGGAGGTAGATACTTGGAATGATGTATTATAAAAGATGTTGGAAACATGTTTGGCAATGGAGTTGGTGGGGAGGACTATGTATCTCTTTTCGGCAGTGTCTTCTCTGGGTGTGTTGAAGATGTTTAATGTCCGCCATCTGCAGTCTCTGATGAAGTGACGAGGATAGTGGAGTTTAGAAAATACTTGTTCAATTATAGTGCATTCTTCCTCAAGGAACTCATTGCTGCAGATTCTGAGTGCGAGCAGGAAGAAGCCTATAATTACACCACGTTTAGTTTTGGTGTCGTGGTGAGAGTAGAAGTGGAGAGATCGTTTTGGTTGGTTGGTTTCGATAGACTTTAAAACGAAGTTCATGGTCAGTTTTGCAGAGAAGAACATCAAGGAAAGAAGAGTGTTGTCGACTTCTCTTCAAGTGTGAACTGGATTGAGGGCTCGACCTGGTTGAGCTTGTCTTGGAGAGCTTGAACGTTGAAGCGCCTGGAGTTATGAGGAGAATGCCCAACATAAGGGAGCCAGGTGACAGTCGAAGGAATAATGGGGGAAAAAACGCTCGGCTTCCAGATGTTCCATGTATAAGTTCGCCAGGACGGCACTGAGTGGCGAGCCCATGGGTAGACCAAAAGTCTGTTGAAAAGAGGTGATTTTTCGAAAAAAGGAAACACGAAAAAGCCGACACATATTTCAATGAGGTCGATGAAATCGCTGGCTGGAATAGGAAGATCAAGTGAATCGTCAATTTTTCTGCGCAGGAGATCATGGCTTGTGTAGTAGGTATTTTGGGTGAATAGGGAAGTTACGTCAAGGCGGGAGAGTTTCTTGTCCTGATTTTTGATGTTGCGAATGCGATTGAGATCACCCGAGTGTTTGAGATGTGCTGGACTGATAGTGCCCAAGAGTTGGAGAGGTGTTTTGCGAGAATTCCTGAGAGTTGGTGGGGAGCACTGCCTATTCCCGAACATTCCTCAACATTCTGAACATGTCTATAAATACTCCCGTACCTTCCACCCCAGATAGATCTGTGTGTGACTTGAAAAAGCCCACTGTGTGGGCGAAACGTCGTCAATAAAGGATCACATTAAACTGCATATGTGTTTAAGTTTCCATTGTGTCGGTATTTTATACCATTTATTTTCATCGTGTCAAACACTGCAGTAGAAATGGATCCTTCACACAGAGAATACCTGGACCTCCTTCTAAAAGCTTATTCTCTTCGCAACAGACAATTTTCTTCGTGACTGCATCCAAGAAATGGTCTTACCAAGATCTACTCCTCCTCAAATTGCCAGCATCAAACCTTCTTTCTCCGCTACAGCTCGGACCTACCTTGAAGAGTGTGCAGATGACTTAAACAATGCTACAAATGAAGCTTTTCTCCAAGTCAGAACACTAGGCACAGCACTTCGGGAAAACATGAACAGACGCACACGCCGAAATCATTCGCAACAGAGTTACCACAGCAAATGTTAAACAGAAGATCAGACTTGCTAGAAAACTACAAATCTCTGCGATAATAGTCATTGGAAAATTTAGGAAGCCCTACATTATTCAAAATCTTTCATCTCGTCCACTATCAACCACAGAAACCGAAGCCCTCAGCTTGGGGCCTCAAATTCGAAACGGGAATTACAAACGAAAACAAGACCTCAATTTCATCGCCAAAAACTACAGACACAATGCCCTCCGACTTCCAAAAGGTTTTCTTCAAGGCATCATCTCACAGCCATCTCTACATGCAGCTCCCCAATCACATCTCGACGTTACATCATTGCACTTAAAGGTTTAGCAGAAGACAAACGACCCTCAGGGTCACCACCACTGATAAGGAGGTGGTTGTTATCATGAACACTGACGACTACAAACAAAATGCTCAATCACTTAATACCCAGATACTACAAACCCCCAACAACTAACCAGTGGACAACCTTACTAAAACTTTTTTTTCAAAGGACACGCCGCATTCTGAGGAACTCAAACAAGGGGAAAAAACTTCGCACACCATACCCAGCAACCCCAAACCTGCCAAATGTACGGCCTACCAAAAACTCACAAGCCTGGTATCCCATTGAGGCCCATATCTTCGGGAATAGGGAGTGCTCCCCACCAACTCTCAGGAATTCTCGCAAAACACCTCTCCAAACTCTTGGGGACTATCAGTCCAGCACATCTCAAACACTCGGGTGACTTCTCAATTGCATTCGCAACATCAACATCAGGAACAAGAAACTCTCCACCTGGGCTAACTTCCCTATTCACTAAAGTACCTACTACACAAGCCATCGATCTCCTGCGCAGAAAAATTGACATTCACTTGATCTTCCCATTCCAGCCAGCGATTTTCATCACCTCGTTGAACTACGTGTCAGCTTTACGTGTTTCTTTTTTCGAAAATCACCTCTTTCAACAACTTTTGGTCTAACCCATGGCTCGCCACTCATGCCGTCCTGGCGAACTTTTACATGAACATCTGGAAGCCAAGCGTTTCTCCCATTATTCCTTCGACTGTCACCCGGCTCTGTTATGTTGACGACATTCTCCTCATAAATCCCAGGGGCTTCAACGTTCAAGGGTCTCCAAGACAAGCTCAACCAGGGCGAGCCCTCAATCCAGTTCACACTTGAAGAAGAAGTCAACAACACTCTTCCTTTCCTTGATGTTCTTCTCTGCAAAACTGACCATGAACTTCGTTTTAAAGTCTATCGAAAACCAACCCAAACCAAAACGACTTCTCCACTTCTACTCTCACCACGACACCAAAACTAAACGTGGGGTAATTATAGGCTTCTTCCTGCGTGCACTCAGAATCTGCAGCAATGAGTTCCTTGAGGAAGAATGCACTATAATTGAACAAGTATTTTCTAAACTCCACTATCCTCGTCACTTCATCAGAGACTGCAGATGGCGGACATTAAACATCTTCAACACACCCGAGAAGACACTACCCAGAAGAGATACTAGTCCCCCCCCACCAACTCCATTGCCAAACATGTTTCCAACATCTTTTATAATTCATCATTCCAAGTATCTACCTCCACAACCATGACCATCAAGGACAACACCAGTAGTAGACAGGACAAGCTTCCATCCTCTGCAGGGGTATACATAATCCCTTGTAATGACTGCAACCAAATTATACGTGGGCGAAACATCAAGAGACATCCAAACACGTATTTCAGAACAACCAATACGCAAGCAGGACTGACGATACAAGGATGCCTGTGTACAACATCGCAATTCACACAACTATTTAATTAACTACAGAAACTCAAGACTTATCGCCACAGAAGACAACACTCAATACCGAAAAACCCGGAATCACGCTTATCTCAAAAACCAACAATTTCAACCAAACAACGGCTTCTGTAACATGCTAAAACCACCCCCCAAGAAACTTCTTCATCACTATCCCACTAAAAACAGAACACTGAGAAGGCTACTCAAAACAACTTGCCCAAATACCCCTCCCAAGTCCCCAAGCTCTATAACCCCACCCGTGATCAAAATCAGCATTCCCACCGACCTCAACATTCTAAACCGGCTATAAATACTCCCACTTCCACCCCAGGTAGCTTGTGTTGACTGAAAAAGCCCACTGTTGGAATACGTTCCCCCCAGACAAAGGATCACATTAAACAGCTTATCTTGCTTTATGTTTCCCTTGTGTATTATTACACAATTATCATGGGCAAATAAATAAAGCAGGTTTTAGAATACCAACCAAGAAACAACTGGGGAAGCCTTTAACAACAATCGAAATTTACACACTTTAATAAAAAAAACCAAAAAGGCAACACTACCGGAACTGGAAATCATCGCTTTTCTCTTCCAACTTTTAACCCAAAGGTTTAGACTGCTAAACCCCCCCAAGCTTCTTACATAGTTCCACTGAACTTAATTACCTAGAAGTTACTATTGAAACCCCTGCCATGGCAAAAGACTACTATAAATACCCGATGTTTCATCATGTGCTACATCTCACCTGTCCCAAATTGTAACCTTCTACACAACTTCCGACCTGCAACCCCAGGAATCTTATTCTGAGGACTTGTACAAACCCCCTTCAAACTACGTCAATAAATACTAAACTAAACCCATTGTTTGGTAAGGACCTATTTTCAATGGGGAATAACAGTTAGCCTAAAACAGTGAAAGCCCTACTCTGGATAACCTAGTTACATAAGAAAAAGGCCAATCCCTTGCTGAACTCCCACGACTATGGTGCTCTTCGCACCTACTCCTAGGTTGAGGGACTGATTACCTCATCTTCTGTACATAGTTCTACTGTCTTCAAGTTATGTCCTAGAATTTGTATTGATAAAGCCACTGGATGGCGAAACGTCTACAATAAAGATACCCAGATGTTGCACATGTGTCTTAATCTCATCTTGTCGGTATTGTATACCATTCGTACACAATACACAAATAACCCTCACATCGGACCGAAACGTCGTCGTAAGTTCCTGTATGTGCGGGTTATTTGTGTACTGTCAACATCCGTGGTCCATGAATCTTCAACCTTCTACCTGAAGATATGATAAATGTGACCAGAAAAAAAATAGAATGTTCAACAGAGAATTAAGAATTAGTAAAGCTCCCTCAGAATGCGCCTGATCAGTGGAGTTACAATGACTATGTGGATTTGCGAGCTGTGGACAGTAATAGCTTGGTTGATTAAGTAACTACAAGTAGGAAAAGCTTGAATTTATGTTGTGCTGCAGCAGCAGCTACTCGAAACTGATCACAGGTATGGCAAAGGTTTGGAATATGTGGATTGGTATACGAGTGATTTCGAGAGTTAGAGAAGTACGAGCGAATTCTGGAGTTTCAGAAAATGGACACATTATTCAATATGAGAGGTGCTGAGCCAAGTTCAGCTTTCTGGCTAGGCTTAATTTAATAGAATTAAAGTACACCAAAAATGAATGAAATCGGATGATAAATAATAAAAAAAAAAGGTCAGTTCATCCGTACGGGCCCCTTAAGCTACGACTTCTAATATAAGAGTAAGTTTATTCAGTTATACACAAATACAGTTACGCAGATTATCACACATAGCAACATATTTGTAGAGAACCGGGAATACACCCAAAAAAGTCAGACTAAGTGACTTATTTCCACTGGGGCACAGTGAACCTAGTTCACCTTTCTAACTAAGCTTAAAGTTACACCTTGACTTTTAATACGAGGGATACTGGGCCTAATTCAACTTTCTAGCTAGGTTTAAATAGAATTAAGGCATGACTTCGCCGAACTTAACACTCATACAAACACAACATCAATGACCATGCCTTTATCAGCACTTTTATCACTGCCCTGCATCTCTATCTTAGTGCCATTATCTCTCCACCTCCGCATGGGTCCACCACTGATAACATTATCCAATAAACCTATATGTTATCAGTGTCATCCTTGATAATGCTGTACCTGTCTCTCTAATGTTCTGCCTCACGCTCCTGTTTAGTAGGGAACTAGTTACCTCACACCTCTAGGTAGGAGGGAACTAGTTACCTCACACTCCTAGGTAGGAGGGAACTAGTTACCTCACACTCCTAAGTAGGAGGGAACTAGTTACCTCATACTCCTAGGTAGGAGGGAACTAGTTACCTCACACTCATAGGTAGGAGGGAACTAGTTACCTCACACTCATAGGTAGGAGGAAACTAGTTAATTACCTGTGGATTTATATTTTAAAATCGTGGCAAAGCGATAAACCGGATTCACTAGTACATCTGTAGACCTGTATCTTCGGTACACGTAGACCTAACTAACCAGTATACCTGTAGGCCTGTATTTCCAGTATAGTTGTAGCTATAAAACTCATCAGTACACCTGTAGACTTGTCTCTTCAATACACGTTAGACCTGATTCTCCAGTCCACGTGTAGGTCTAGTTCTGTACACGTGTAAGTCTAGTTCTATACACGTGTAGGTCTAGTTCTGTATGTGTAGGTCTAGTTCTGTACATGTGTAAGTCTAGTTCTGTACACGTGTAGGTCTGGTTCTGTACACGTGTCTAGTTCTGTACACGTGTAGGTCTAGTTCTATACACGTGTAGGTCAAGTTCTGTACACGTGTAGGTCTAGTTCTGTACACGTGTAAGTCTAGTTCTGTACACGTGTAAGTCTGGTTCTGTACACGTGTCTAGTTCTGTACACGTGTAGGTCTAGTTCTATACACGTGTAGGTCTAGTTCTATACACGTGTAGGTCTAGTTCTGTACACGTGTAGATCTAGTTCTGTACACGTGTAGGTCTAGTTCTGTACACGTGTAGGCCTAGTTCTATACACGTGTAGGTCTAGTTCTGTACCTGGTAAGGAAGACTTGGTTCTCCAGGTCTTCATTACAACTGTTTCACCTGTCCACCTTGGAGTTAACAAGTACCCAGTAGTTACACTACTGTAATGGAGAATAATAATAAGAATAGTAATAATAATAATAATAATCAAATTAAGCGCTAAAACTATTGTGGACAGCATCTTAGGGAAGGATCCTAATGGAAATAAGCATCCCTGTCAGGATTTATTATTAATAGTAGTAGTAGTAGTAGTGTATGTGGTATGGGGTCATCAGTACCTGGTGAACGGGAGGCACTCAAGTTTGATCCATACATATTAGTGCGAGCGAGACATCTATGGTTCGAAGCATGGTATCTCCAAATTTCTTCTCTCTTGTCGTTGCAGGCTACACTCACCACCAGGGCTGCTTCCTGGAGATGCGGGCGTCAGGCAGCGTGTGGGTGGGGCTGCAGGTGACGCAGGAGGCGGTGCAGGCGGGCAGGAGGATGCTCTCCTCCAGTAACCTCCGGGCGGGGAGCAACACCTCCCGCAGCATCCCACAGGTCATCAAGGAGCTCCTCAGGGACAACTGTGGTACCATTATTTGTTTTATTATTATTATTAGTAGTAGTAGTAATCATCAATAGACGTTTCACTGTTAGAACCAGTACTTTGCAACAATATACCTAGATATCAAAACTTCTAACCAGGAGGTGATGAGTGGTTGATGAGGATTGATGATAATGAAATTTGCATTTCACGAGTACACCACCAACCAAGAATACTCTTAATGACATGTTATAGTCAAGTATTCTTCATAGTACGCAGCGTATATACACTGATATACAAGTACATAACTCACTTGTGTATATACCTTGTTAAGTTATAGATATAATCACGCGACTTCTTAGTTATTTATTCAGAGTAAGTCGTGTACACAATTTATATACACAAAAAATTGTGATTAGAATGGAAAAATCCCTTAATGTATACATTAATTTTAATGATATATATATATATATATATATATATATATATATATATATATATATATATATATATATATATATATATAATATATATATATATATATATATAATAATATATATGTCGTGCCGAATAAGCAGAACTTGCGATCTTGGCTTAAATAGCAACGCTCATCTTGCCATATAGGACAAGCGAAAATTTGTGTATGGAATAATTTCGCTAAAATAATTCTGAACCTAACGAAAAAAATATATTTCACTGTGTTTGTTTAGTGTTAAATTATTGTAAACAAATCTAAAATATATTTAGTTGGGTTTGGCTAAAATAAATTGTTCTGTGTTATAATAAGGTTAGGTATGTTTTCTAAGATTCTTTTGGTGCAAAATTATAAATTTTTACATCAACATTAATGAAAAAAATATATCTTTAAACGTATAAGAGAAAATTTCAGAAAGGATTTAATTTTAAATGAGTTCTTGCTAATTGACCATTTTACATATTCAGCACGACATATATATATATATATATATATATATATATATATATATATAATATATATATATATATATATATATATATATAATGAGCAAGGAATTCGCAAGTGCAGGCGAAATATACACAAACACTGATCTCTGGCCAAAGGAGATTCGAACCTACGAACCTTGGAACAAGGTACGCAGTGCTTTACCATTCTCACCACACTGGAGCAATACCTTGGCGCCCAGCTTGCGCTAGACGTTAATCCAAGGCAGCCAGCTTTCAGGGAGAAGGCTTACAGCTTTTCATCTCATCCCCTGCATGCATCAGCCTTACTAGAGATTTTAACAATGCAAGGAATTCGCAAGTGCAGGCGAAATATACACAAACACTGATCTCTGGCTGTAAGCCTTCTCTCTGAAAGCTGGCTGCCTTGGATTAACGTCTAGCGCAAGCTGGGCGCCAAGGTATTGCTCCAGTGTGGTGAGAATGGTAAAGCACTGCGTACCTTGTTCCAAGGTTCGTAGGTTCGAGTCTCCTTTGGCCAGAGATCAGTGTTTATATATATATATATATATATATATATATATATATATATATATATATATATATATATATAATATATATATATAAGACTATCTGAATGATTTTAGCTACCCTAAATTTCCTCATATGGACTTGAAATGATTGTAGGACTGGTGATGGTGGAGGTGTGCGCTGCTGTGGTCTACTGGGACGACGGTGGCACTGTGGCACTATACATTGACCCGGCTATGGCCCTGGCTTCAGCGGCACTCCTCATGTGGTTCAGTTACCCATACTGTAAGACGTTTTCTTTCATGTTTTGTTTGTATACGAGGTAAACTAAGCTAATCAGTATAATAATGGTATACTATACCGAAGTAAACAAAAAACATGTGCAACAGTTAGGTATCTTTGTTCCGAAACGTTTCGCCTATACGGCAGGCTTCATCAGTCTAATACAGAGGTGACTAATATGGTGACTGCTGAAGCAGTGAAAAGGTAAACATGATGTGATCAGTCCATCAACCTTGAAAAAGTAGGATGAGGTAGTCACTGTATATATACCGAGAGATACACGCCTCGCCATGTATATGTCGTGCCGAATAGGTAAAACGGGTCAATTAACAAGAACTCGTTTATAATTAAGTCCTTTCTATAAAAAATTCTTAACGTTTAAAGATTTTTTTTTCATTTGTTAATGTAAAAATTAATAGTTTTGTACCAAAAGTACCTTAGAAAACTTACCTAACCTTATTATAACAAGCGCAATTTAATTTAGTCTAATCCAACTAAATATATTTTAGATAAGCTTACAATAATTTAATAAATAAACACAATTAAATATATTTTTTTCGTTAGGTTCAGAATGATTTTTGCGAAATTATTGCTATTTAAGCCAAAATCGCAAGTTTTACCTATTCGGAACAACATATACAAATCTCCACGACATATACACATGGGTGTGGGTGGGTGTGAGTTGGACCTGACTAGCTTGTGCAACTAGGTCAGATGCCGTGCTCCAGGCGGACATCAACCAAATCTTTCAGTGGGCTGCAGAAAACAATATGAAGTTCAACGATGAGAAATTTCAATTACTCAGATATGGTAAACATGAGGAAATTAAATCTTCATCAGAGTACAAAACAAATTCTGGCCACAAAATAGAGCGAAACACCAACGTCAAAGACCTGGGAGTGATTATGTCGGAGGATCTCACCTTCAAGGACCATAACATTGTATCAATCGCATCTGCTAGAAAAATGACAGGATGGATAATGAGAACCTTCAAAACTAGGGAGGCCAAGCCCATGATGACACTCTTCAGGTCACTTGTTCTATCTAGGCTGGAATATTGCTGCACTCTAACAGCACCTTTCAAGGCAGGTGAAATTGCCGATGCCGACCTAGAAAATGTACAGAGAACTTTCACGGCGCGCATAACGGAGATAAACACCTCAATTACTGGGAGCGCTTGAGGTTTCTAACCTGTATTCCCTGGAACGCAGGAGGGAGAGATACATGATTATATACACCTGGAAAATCCTAGAGGGGACTAGTACCGAACTTGCACACGAAAATCACTCACTACGAAAGCAAAAGACTTGGCAGACGATGCACCATCCCCCAATGAAAAGCAGGGTGTCACTAGCACGTTAAGAGACCATACAAATAAGTGTCAGGGGCCCGAGACTGTTCAACTGCCTCCCAGCACACATAAGGGGGATTACCAACAGACCCCTGGCAGTCTTCAAGCTGGCACTGGACAAGCACCTAAAGTCAGTTCCTGATCAGCCGGGCTGTGGCTCGTACGTTGGTTTGCGTGCAGCCAGCAGCAACAGCCTGGTTGATCAGGCGCTGATCCACCAGGAGGCCTGGTCACAGACCGGGCCGCGGGGGCGTTGACCCCCGAAACTCTCTCCAGGTAAACTCCAGGAATGTGACCTGACCCGACTAGGTTAAAGCATTGGCTTAAGCTGGTGGGAGAATTGGACCTGCCTCGCATGGGCCAATAGGCCTGCTGCAGTGTTCATTTTTTCTTTTGTTCTTATGAAATACGCACGCACACACAAACACCTCAGTATATATACGCTGATGTACACACTTCAGTGTATTTACTGTACACTAGCACCGAAATACACAACTTTCAGTGTATAAACACAGACACACCTCTCGGTGTATCTTTACACCCCTGCCCTTTTACGGGCATCGCGGCACCCTCGTTGCAGATTACAGAGTTGCCATAATGAAGTGTAACCATATGATGTATGCAGGTCGGGAGTGTTGCCACATCCTGCTACAGACCATCCCGGGACACATCGACGTGGAGGCCTTCCAAGCCAGGCTCCTCCAACAGTTCCCAGCCATCGTTAACATTCACCACCTCCACATCTGGACCTTCACACCCACCAAGGTATGCCTTGAGGACCTCCCTTTCCTCCTCTACGTTTCACTTAGCAAAGTATACCTCGAGAAGCTTACCTCCTCTACGTTTCACTCAAAGTATCCCTCAAGGAGCTTGCTGACCACCTCTACATTTCGCTCCTTTCTTACACAGATTTTTATTGCAAATATAAAAAAAGACATACACTGGGACAACGCTTTGCCCTGTTAAGGTGTCTATCAAATTTTAAGACAGCGAAACGTTCTTTTCCTGCTTTCTGCGCACGCAGTATCTTCTGATCAGTATTATATATGCATGATAAATGGGAGTTCATGAGATTTGATCCGAAGTAAGAGACGGTATCTCCGACGCCCGGGATCAAGATTCCCTCTCAGGGATCAAACTCCCTCCTCCCCCCTGAAAAGTTTTACACGGATAATAATAATTACAGTAATTCAATTACAATAATAAAAACAATAATAATAATCATAATAATAATAAATTATTGTTGTTACACTTGTGTATTTCGCATAACTAAAACTGACATGTGAAACTTAAAGGGAACGTTTAATTTGGGAGACGTCTCGGCCTCCGGCAAACCGGCGAGCAAAACATCTACATTAAATAAGACCTAAACATTTCACATGTGTCTTTGCACTTGTGTACTGTCTCGGGTGATGTAGGGTATTTTGTGAGAGGCCTCGTCCAACCTACGCGCACTGCTGCAGGGCCCAAGAGCTGGAACCCTAGGCGGAGGGCCCAGGAGCTGAAACTCGACCCAAGTACTAGCCTAAACATTTGTTGATGGTGTTGCAGGTGGTGGCGACAGCACATGTGGTCTTCAAGAACCCTTGCGTCTATCTCTCCAATAAGGACACCCTGAGGCAGTTCTTTGTGGACGAGGGCGTCACTAAGGTGAGGTCACACACCCGACATAGCTGTCACTAAGGTTAGATAACACACCTGACCTCGATGTCACAAAGGTTAGATTACATACCTAGCATTGATGTTACAAAGGTGTGATCACACACCTGGCATCGATGTCACAGAGGTTAGATCACACACTTGGCATCGATATCATAAAGGTTAGATCACACACCTAGCTTGGATATCACAAAGGTGTTTCACAAACCTGGCGTGGACAAAGGCATCACAAAGATTCTTACCGAATTTGTCTTTACAGTCATCCAGTGTACATGGGTGACTCTTGAGTATTCACATCTTGCTCATGCTTGGCTGAATGTTCTTCCTTGAGGCCTCTTCTTACCTCCCTCCTACTTTTCCATTCCTTATATTCGTATGTGTTCTTTACCGCTGAGGTCAAGTATTTTGTGATCTTGTTACTTTCTCCACCTTCCTTCCGTATCTCCGACCGTCTCCACCACTCTGGTAGGGTGATCCACAAAAATGAAGTCTTCACCATCACTCATTCAATAGATGTTTTGCCAGAAGTACGTGGACATCACCATGCATCTTGTTAATCAGCCAGCTGGCCCAGTGGCCTGGAGTTTTGCGACTCACTTGCCATGGGTTCTAACCCCACCCGTACCCTGATTGTTTTGTCTCTGTTCGGAGTTATGTTTCCTCAATAAAGATAACACAATGTTGCACAAGTGTCTCAATTCTTCAATTTCATTTTATTTTCTTACATTTTCACAGCTTTCAACCATCTTTGATATACATAATTCTGAACTTGTCTTCTCACTTTATATCGTCTGTCTGGCCACATCTGAATTTATTATCTTTTAGTTTTGTTTAATTCACTTTATTTACTACAACGTTTAGCTCCACTATTAAGGTATTAATTAAATTACTTAGTATTTTTATACGTTCTGACTTTACAACATATTTAATATTCTGCACCAGTCCTTAATTTCCGCTAAACCTATAAGTTCTCAAATTGTTATAATTATATTCACGTGGAAGCGCTAAGCCCGCAGGAGTCTCACAGTGCATGGGAAACTGGAGGTCATCTGGTCTTACTGGAGGAAGAAAGAGTAAATTTAGTTCCAAGGGGAAAGAAGCCATCAGCGGCACCAAGGGCGCTCTTTCCCCCACCTCAAGACCAGACCAGAGTACTGTAGTGTTACATGTGATGTTGACTGTAGTGTTGTGTTACAGGTCACGCTACAGCCGGAGTACATGACGAGGGAGCCAGGTGGCACTCCTGACGACGCTGTGTGTCTTCTCAGGTGCCAACAAGAAAAATGCCATGAGAGGGAGTGCTGTTACTCCTGCACCCACCACCCTCTCCTCACCTCCCTCACCACCCAAGGTAACCCACCACCCACGGAAACCCACCACCCTCTCCTCACCACCCACGGTAACCCACCACCCTCTCCCCACTACCCATGGCAACCCACCACCCTCTCTCACCACCCCACGGTAACCCACCACCCTCTCCTCACCTCCCTCACCACCCAAGGTAACCCACCACTCTCTCTCACCACCCACGGTAAACCCACCACCCTCTCCTCACCTCCCTCACCACCACCGGTAAACCACCACCCTCTCTCACCACCCACGGTAACCCACCACCCTCTCCTCACCTCCCTCACCACCCACGGTAAACCCACCACCCTCTCTCACCACCCACGGTAAACCCACCACCCTCTCCTCACCTCTCTCACCACCCACGGTAACCCACCACCCTCTCCTCACCTCTCTCACCACCCACGGTAACCCCACCACCCTCTCTCACCACCCACGGTAACCCACCACCCTCTCCTCACCTCCCTCACCACCCACGGTAAACCACCACCCTCTCTCACCCACCCACGGTAACCCACCACCCTCTCCTCACCTCCCTCACCACCCACGGTAACCCACCACCCTCTCTCACCACCCACGGTAACCCACCACCCTCTCCTCACCTCCCTCACACCACCCACGGTACCCCACCACCCTCTCTCACCACCCCACGGTAACCCACCACCCTCTCCTCACCCCTCACCACCCACGGTAACCCACCACCCTCTCACCACCCACGGTAACCCACCACCCTCTCCTCACCTCCCTCACCACCCACGGTAACCCACCACCCTCTCTCACCACCCACGGTAACCCACCACCCTCTCCTCACCTCCCTCACCACCCACGGTAACCCACCACCCTCTCTCACCACCCACGGTAACCCACCACCCTCTCCTCACCTCCCTCACCACCCACGGTAACCCACCACCCTCTCTCACCACCCACGGTAACCCACCACCCTCTCCTCACCTCCCTCACCACCCACGGTAACCCACCACCCTCTCCTCACCTCCCTCACCACCCACGGTAACCCACCACCCTCTCTCACCACCCACGGTAACCCACCACCCTCTCTCACCACCCACGGTAACCCACCACCCTCTCCTCACCTCCCTCACCACCCACGTAACCCACCACCCTCTCTCACCACCCACGGAAGCCCACCTCCTCTCCCCACTACTCATGGCAACCCACCATCCTCTCCTCAGCACCAACGGTAGCCCACCATCCTCCCCTCACCACCCACGTAGCCCACACCACCCTCTCCTCACCACCCACGGTAACCCACCACCCACTCCTCACCACCCACTGTAACCCACCACCATCTCCTCACCACCCACGGAAGCCCACCACCCTCTCCTCCCCCATCCGGAATCCAACCACCCTCTCCTCACCACCCACGGTAACCCACCGCCCTCTCCTCACCACCCAGAGTAACCCACCGCCCTCTCTTCACTACCCACGGTAACCCACCACCCTCTCCCACTACCCCGGTAACCCACCACCTCTCCTCACCACCCACGGTAACACCACCTCTCTCCTCCTCACCACCCACGGTAACCCACCATCCTCTCCTCACCACCCACGGTAACCCACCACCCACAGTAACCCACCACCCTCTCCTCACCACCCACGGTAACCCACCACCCTCTCCTCACCACCCACGGTAACCCACCAACCACAGTAACCCACCACCCTCTCCTCACCACCTACGGTAACCCACCACCCACAGTAAACCCACCACCCACAGTAACCCACCACCTTGTCCTCACCCACCCACGTAACCCACCACCCACAGTAAACAACCACCCAGGGTAACCCACCACCCACAGTAACCCACCACCCTCTCCTCACCACCCACATAACCCACCACCCTCTCCTCACCACCCACGGTAACCCACAACCCACAGTAACCCACCACCCTCTCCTCACCACCCACAGTAACTCACACACCCTCTCCTCACCAACCACGGTAACCCACCAACCACGGTAACCCACCACCCACGGTAGCCCACTACCCTCCACCACCCACGGTAACCCACCACTCTCTCCTCACCACCCACGGTAACTCATCACCCACAGTAACTCACCACCCTCTCACCACTCACGGTAACCCACCACCCAGAGTAACCCACCACCCTCTCCTCCCCACCCAAGGTAACCCACCACCCACAATAACCCACACCCTCTCCTCACCACCCACGGCAACCCACCACCCACAGTAACCCACCACCCTCTCCTCACCACCTACGGTAACCCACCACCCACAGTAACCCACCACCTTCTCACCACCCACGGCAACCCACCACCCTCTCCTCACCACCCACGGTAACCCACCACCCACAGTAACCCACCATCCTCTCCTCACCACCCACAGCAACCCACCACCCACAGTAACCCACCCACCCTCTCCTCATCACCTACGCGGTAACCCACCACCCACACTAACCCACCACCCTCTCTTCAAACCACCCACGGTAACCCACCACCCTCTCCTCACCAACCACGGTAACCCACCACCCACAGTAACCCACTACCCCTCCCTCACCGCTAACATTAACCCACCACCCTCTCCTCACTACCCACAGTAATCATCACCCTCTCCTCACCACCACGTAACCCCCACCCACAGTAACCCACCACCCTCTCCTCACCACCCACAGTAACCCACCACCTTCTCACCAACCACGGTAACCACACCCACAATAACCCACCATCCTCTCCTCACACACTCACGGTAACCCACCACCCACAGTAACCCACCACCCTCTCCTCACCACCCACGGTAACCCACCACTCACAGTAGCCCACCACCCTCTCCTCACCACCCACAGTAACCCACCACCCTCTCCTCACCACCCACGGTAACCCACCACCCACAGTAACCCACCATCCTCTCCTCACCACTCACGGTAACCACCACCCACAGTAATCCACCACCATCCACCACCCACGGTAACCCACCACCCACAGTAACCCACCACCCTCTCCTCACCACCCCACACTAACCCACCACCCTCTCTTCACCACCCACGGTAACCCCCCCCTCACCAACCACGGTAACCACCACCCACAGTAACCCACCACCCTCTCCTCAACCACTAACATTAACCCACCACCGTCTCCTCACCACCCACAGTAACCCACCACCCTCTCCTCACCACCACGGTAACCCGCCACCCACAGTAACCCACCACCCTCTCCTCACCACCCACAGTATCCAACCACCCACAGTAACCCACCACCTTCTCACCAACCACGGTAACCCACCACCCACAGTAACCCACCACCTCCTCACCACCCACGGTAGCCCACCACTCTCTCCTCCCCATCCACGGTACCCACCACCCTCTCCTCACCACCCACGTAACGCACCACCCACAGTAACCCACCACCCTCTCCTCACCACCCCACGGTAACCCACCACCCACAGTAACCCACCACCCTCTCCTCACCACCCACAGTAACCCACCACCCACGGTAACTCACCACCCACAGCAACCCACCATCCTCTCCTCACCACCCACAGTAACCCACCACCCTCTCCTCATCACCTACGGTAACCCACCACCCTCTCTTCACCACCCACCTTAACCCACCACCCACTCCTCACCAACTACGGTAACCAACCACCCACAGTAACCCACCACCCTCTCCTCACCACTAACTTAACCCACCACCGTCTCCTCACCACCCACAGTAACCCACCACCCTCTCCTCACCAACCACGGTAGCCCCGCCACCCATAGTAACCCACCACCCACAGTAACCCCACCCCTCTCACCAACCACGGTAACCCACCACCCACAGTAACCCACCACCCTCTCCTCACCACCCACGGTAACCCACCACCCACAGTAACCCACCACCTCCTCACCACCCACGGAGCCCACCACTCTCTCCTCCCCATCCACGTAGCCCACCACCCTCTCCCACACCACCCACGGTAACCCACCACCCCACGATAACCACCACCCACAGTAACCCACGACCCTCTCCTCATCAACCACGGTATACCACCACCATCACCACCCACGATAACCCACCACCCTCTCCTCACCACCCACGATAACCCACCACCCACAGTAACCCACCACCCTCTCCTCACCAACCACGGTAACCCACCACCCACAGTAACCCACCACCCTGGCCTGGTTCATGACCGGCCGCGGGGGCGTTGATCCCCGGAATAACCTCCAGGTAACCCTCATCCTCACCAACCACGGTAACCCACACCCTCCTCCTCACCACCCACAGTAACCCACCACCCTCTCCTCACCAACCACAGTAACCCACCACCCTCTACTCACCAACCACGGTAACCCAATTCCTCTCCTCACCACCCTCGGTAACCCACCACCCTCTCCTCCCAACCACAGTAACGCACCACCCTCTCATCACCAACCACGGTAACCCACCACCCACAGGAACCCACCACCCATACCTCACCACCCACATTAACCCACCACCCTCTCCTCACCAACCACGGTAAACCCACCACCCACAGTAACCCACCACCTCTCCTCACCAACCACTGTAACCCACCACCCTCTCCTCACCACCCACGATAACCCACCACCCACAGTAACCCACAACCCTCTCCTCACCACCCACGATAATCACCACCCACAGTAACCCACGACACCCTGTCCTCACCAACCACAGTAACCCACCACCCTCTCCTCACCACCACGATAACCCACCACCCTCTCCTCACCAACCATGGTAACCACCACCCTCTCCTCACCACCCACGATAACCCACCACCCACAGTAACCACCACCCTCTCCTCACCACCCACTATAATTCACCACCCCAGTAACCCACGATCCTCTCCTCACCAACCACAGTAACCCACCCACCCTCTCCTCACCACCCACAATAACCCACCACCCTCTCCTCACCACCCACAATAACCCACCACCCTCCTCCTCACCACCCACGATAACCCACCACCCTCTCCTCACCACCCACGATAAACCCACCACCCTCTCCTCACCACCCACGGTAACCCACCACCCTCTCCTCACCACCCACAATAACCCACCACCCTCTCCTCACCACCCACAATAACCCACCACCCTCTCCTCACCACCCACGATAACCCACCACCCTCTCCTCACCACCCACAATAACCCACCACCACTACTCCTCACCACCCACAATAACCCACCACCCTCTCCTCACCACCCACGATAACCCACCACCCTCTCCTCACCACCCACAGTAACCCACCACCCTCTCCTCACCAACCACAGTAACCCACCACCCTCTCCTCACCACCCACAATAACCCACCACCCTCTCCTCACCACCCACGATAACCCACCACCCTCTCCTCACCACCCACGATAACCCACCACCCTCTCCTCAACCACCCACAATAACCCACCACCCTCTCCTCACCAACCCACGATAACCCACCACCCTCTCCTCACCACCCACGATAACCCACCACCCTCTCCTCACCACCCACGATAACCCACCACCCTCTCCTCACCACCCACGGTAACCTACACCTGCTACTGTCCTGTCACTGATTATTTCCTGTTGTTGTGAAGTTACTGTCTCTCTCAGAAATCTTTACCGACTTTGTCACTATCTCTGAAACTTACGATGTTTTATTTGCTTTCAGGTGATGTTTCTCGCCAATCTAGTACATATACCTTTAAATCAAGTGAAGGTGTGTGTGGATCAGGGGAAAGTGAGGTGAATGTTGTAAATGAGTCAAAGTGCAGTGCCAAGGAAACAGGTGTATGTGAATCAGGGAAAGGTATTTGGGAGTCAGATCATTCAAGTGAACCGGAATGTCGGACATTTATGTTCCCCTGCTTGCCTGACCACCCAGGAGACCTCGACGAAGGTAGAACGCCACTAACTAGTGATCAACACACCGCAGGCTACCTAACCAATCTGAAGCCAACTGAACAGTCAGAGGAGCACCTAAACAATGATTGTCCCACTGAACAGTCAGAGGAGCACCTAAACAATGACTGTCCCACTGAACAGTCAGAGGAGCACCTAAACAATGACTGTCTCACTAAACAACTTAAGAGTAGCACCTAACCAAGTTATGTCGCAGTGAGCACATGTAATAATACCTAGTGTAGGAAAGACCTACTCAACATACTCCACGATAGCTAAGTATGGACACCGAGATTATAAGTTCACTCAACTGTGCCAGGCTTTAAAACTCAAGTTCCTAGTTAAAGTTTGGTGTGGAAACCTCACACTAGTAGAAGTTTTGTGTGTGTGTAGAGGGGGAAATCACACTAGTAGAAGTTTTGTGTGTGTGGACGGGGTATCACACTAGTAGAAGTTTGGTGTGTGTGGACGGGGTATCACACTAGTAGAAGTTTGGTGTGTGTGGACGGGGTATCACACTAGTAGAAGTTTTGTGTGTGTGTGGACGGGGTATCACACTAGTAGAAGTTTTGTGTGTGTGTGGACGGGGTATCACACTAGTAGAAGTTTTGTGTGTGTGTGGACGGGGTATCACACTAGTAGAAGTTTGGTGTGTGTGGACGGGGTATCACACTAGTAGAAGTTTGGTGTGTGTGGACGGGGTATCACACTAGTAGAAGTTTGGTGTGTGTGGACGGGGTATCACACTAGTAGAAGTTTTGTGTGTGTGTGGACGGGGTATCACACTAGTAGAGTTTTGTGTGTGTGTGGACGGGGTATCACACTAGTAGAAGTTTTGTGTGTGTGTGGACGGGGTATCACACTAGTAGAAGTTTGGTGTGTGTGGACGGGGTATCACACTAGTAGAAGTTTTGTGTGTGTGTGGACGGGGTATCACACTAGTAGAAGTTTTGTGTGTGGTGTGGACGGGGTATCACACTAGTAGAAGTTTGGTGTGTGTGGACGGGTATCACACTAGTAGAAGTTTGGTGTGTGTGGACGGGGTATCACACTAGTAGAAGTTTTGTGTGTGTGTGGACGGGGTATCACACTAGTAGAAGTTTTGTGTGTGTGTGGACGGGGTTATCACACTAGTAGAAGTTTTGTGTGTGTGTGGACGGGGTATCACACTAGTAGAAGTTTTGTGTGTGTGTGGACGGGGTATCACACTAGTAGAAGTTTTGTGTGTGTGTGGACGGGGTATCACACTAGTAGAAGTTTTGTGTGTGTGTGGACGGGGTATCACACTAGTAGAAGTTTTGTGTGTGTGTGGACGGGGTATCACACTAGTAGAAGTTTGGTGTGTGTGGACGGGGTATCACACTAGTAGAAGTTTTGTGTGTGTGTGGACGGGGTATCACACTAGTAGAAGTTTTGTGTGTGTGTGGACGGGGTATCACACTAGTAGAAGTTTGGTGTGTGTGGACGGGGTATCACACTAGTAGAAGTTTTGTGTGTGTGTGGACGGGGTATCACACTAGTAGAAGTTTTGTGTGTGTGTGGACGGGGTATCACACTAGTAGAAGTTTGGTGTGTGTGGACGGGGTATCACACTAGTAGAAGTTTTGTGTGTGTGTGGACGGGGTATCACACTAGTAGAAGTTTTGTGTGTGTGTGTGGACGGGGTATCACACTAGTAGAAGTTTGGTGTGTGTGTGGACGGGGTATCACACTAGTAGAAGTTTGGTGTGTGTGGACGGGGTATCACACTAGTAGAAGTTTTGTGTGTGTGTGGACGGGGTATCACACTAGTAGAAGTTTGGTGTGTGTGGACGGGGTATCACACTAGTAGAAGTTTGGTGTGTGTGGACGGGGTATCACACTAGTAGAAGTTTGGTGTGTGTGGACGGGGTATCACACTAGTAGAAGTTTGGTGTGTGTGGACGGGGTATCACACTAGTAGAAGTTTGGTGTGTGTGGACGGGGTATCACACTAGTAGAAGTTTGGTGTGTGTGGACGGGGTATCACACTAGTAGAAAGTTTGGTGTGTGTGGACGGGTATCACACTAGTAGAAGTTTGGTGTGTGTGGACGGGGTATCACACTAGTAGAAGTTTGGTGTGTGTGACGGGGTATCACACTAGTAGAAGTTTGGTGTGTGTGGACGGGGTATCACACTAGTAGAAGTTTGGTGTGTGTGGACGGGGTATCACACTAGTAGAAGTTTGGTGTGTGTGTGGACGGGGTATCACACTAGTAGAAGTTTTGTGTGTGTGTGGACGGGGTATCACACTAGTAGAAGTTTTGTGTGTGTGTGGACGGGGTATCACACTAGTAGAAGTTTGGTGTGTGTGGACGGGGTATCACACTAGTAGAAGTTTTGTGTGTGTGTGGACGGGGTATCACACTAGTAGAAGTTTGTGTGTGTGTGGACGGGGTATCACACTAGTAGAAGTTTTGTGTGTGTGTGGACGGGGTATCACACTAGTAGAAGTTTGGTGTGTGTGGACGGGGTATCACACTAGTAGAAGTTTGTGTGTGTGTGTGGACGGGGTATCACACTAGTAGAAAGTTTGGTGTGTGTGGACGGGGTATCACACTAGTAGAAGTTTTGTGTGTGTGTGGACGGGGTATCACACTAGTAGAATTTTGTGTGTGTGTGGACGGGGTATCACACTAGTAGAAGTTTTTGTGTGTGTGTGGACGGGGTATCACACTAGTAGAAGTTTTGTGTGTGTGTGGACGGGTAATCACACTAGTAGAAGTTTTGTGTGTGTGTGGACGGGGTATCACACTAGTAGAAGTTTGGGTGTGTGTGGACGGGGTATCACACTAGTAGAAGTTTGGTGTGTGTGGACGGGGTATCACACTAGTAGAAGTTTGGTGTGTGTGTGGACGGGGTATCACACTAGTAGAAGTTTTGTGTGTGTGGACGGGGTAATCACACTAGTAGAAGTTTTGTGTGTGTGGACGGGGTATCACACTAGTAGAAGTTTGGGTGTGGTGGACGGGGTATCACACTAGTAGAAGTTTTGTGTGTGTGGACGGGGTATCACACTAGTAGAAGTTTGGTGTGTGTGTGGACGGGGTATCACACTAGTAGAAGTTTGGTGTGTGAGTGGACGGGGTATCACACTAGTAGAAGTTTGGTGTGTGTGGACGGGGTATCACACTAGTAGAAGTTTGGTGTGTGTGAAGACGGGGTATCACACTAGTAGAAGTTTTGTGTGTGTGGACGGGGTATCACACTAGTAGAAGTTTGTGTGTGTGTGGACGGGTATCACACTAGTAGAAGTTTGGTGTGTGTGTGGACGGGGTATCACACTAGTAGTAAGTTTGGTGTGTGTGGACGGGGTATCACACTAGTAGAAGTTTTGTGTGTGTGGACGGGGTATCACACTAGTAGAAGTTTTGTGTGTGTGTGGACGGGGTATCACACTAGTAGAAGTTTGGTGTGTGTGTGGACGGGGTATCACACTAGTAGAAGTTTGGTGTGTGTGGACGGGGTATCACACTAGTAGAAGTTTGGTGTGTGTGTGGACGGGGTATCACACTAGTAGAAGTTTGGTGTGTGTGTGGACGGGGTATCACACTAGTAGAGTTTGGTGTGTGTGGACGGGTATCACACTAGTAGAAGTTTGGTGTGTGTGTGGACGGGTATCACACTAGTAGAAGTTTGGTGTGTGTGGACGGGGTATCACACTAGTAGAAGTTTGGTGTGTGTGGACGGGGTATCACACTAGTAGAAGTTTGGTGTGTGTGTGGACGGGGTATCACACTAGTAGAAGTTTGGTGTGTGTGTGGACGGGGTATCACACTAGTAGAAGTTTGGTGTGTGTGTGGACGGGGTATCACACTAGTAGAAGTTTGGTGTGTGTGGACGGGGTATCACACTAGTAGAAGTTTGGTGTGTGTGGACGGGGTATCACACTAGTAGAAGTTTGGTGTGTGTGTGGACGGGGTATCACACTAGTAGAAGTTTGGTGTGTGTGTGGACGGGGGTATCACACTAGTAGAAGTTTGGTGTGTGTGTGGACGGGGTATCACACTAGTAGAAGTTTGGTTGTGTGTGGACGGGGTATCACACTAGTAGAAGTTTGGTGTGGTGGACGGGGTTATCACACTAGTAGAAGTTTGGTGTGTGTGGACGGGGTATCACACTAGTAGAAGTTTGGTGTGTGTGTGACGGGGTATCACACTAGTAGAAGTTTTTGTGTGTGTGTGGACGGGGTATCACACTAGTAGAAGTTTGGTGTGTGTGGACGGGTATCACACTAGTAGAAGTTTTGGTGTGTGTGGACGGGGTATCACACTAGTAGAAGTTTGGTGTGTGTGTGGACGGAGGTATCACACTAGTAGAAGTTTGGTGTGTGTGGACGGGGTATCACACTAGTAGAAGTTTGGTGTGTGTGTGGACGGGTATCACACTAGTAGAAGTTTGGTGTGTGTGTGGACGGGGTATCACACTAGTAGAAGTTTGGTGTGTGTGGACGGGGTATCACACTAGTAGAAGTTTTGTGTGTGTGGACGGGGTATCACACTAGTAGAAGTTTGGTGTGTGTGGACGGGGTATCACACTAAGTAGAAGTTTTGTGTGTGTGTGACGGGGTATCACACTAGTAGAAGTTTTGTGTGTGTGTGGACGGGGTATCACACTAGTAAAGTTTTGTGTGTGTGTGTGGACGGGGTATCACACTAGTAGAAGTTTTGTGTGT